CGAGTCCCGCTGCCCGTACGTCATGGAGCTGCTGCGCCCGCATTACAACCACCCGCTGCGCCTCGCGACGCGCGAAGCCCGCGCACTCGAGCAATGGCTGGGCGCGCTCGAGACGGCCATCTTTGAGGTCGGGCGCACGCCGTCGTCGTCCATGCAGAGCGCCGGCCGCGACGTCGCGACCCACGCGCTGCCGTCCGAAGCGCGCACGCCCGTTGTCATCCGCAGCGCCACGATCCCACCGCCGGCCGCGTCGTTGCATGCACTTGCACGTGGCGACGATTCTGTGGATGCGCTCGAGGCCGACCTCCTCGACGACCGATTGTCCAGCTGCAACAACAACAACAACAACCACAACGATCCTCGTCGCAGCGAGCACAAGCTGCGGTCGAGCAGCGCGGCCAAGGACCACGAGCTCGAGTCGTACGACGGCAGCAGCGATGCCAACGGGACCAACCAAAGCGACAACGACGACGACGACAACAACAACCATGACGACAACGACGACGAGACCGGCTACACGCCCGAGATGCAAAGCCCGGAGGCGGTCGAAGACGTCCGGACCATCACGTCGCCGCCCGCACCGACCGTCATGCACGACCGCGTCTTCAAGCCCAAAGGCAACGGTACATATGATCACCTTCTTCTTCCTCTCTTTCGCATGGCATGAACGCGAGGACGACGTGTAGTGGCCCGCGTCGCGCCAGGGCTCACGCGCAACGGGTACTTAAGCCGCGCCAACGTGCACTCGTTCAGCGCCAGCGGCCAGCTCTTCACGCTAGACCTCAAGTACTCGCTTATCAAGCCCATTGGCACGGGTGCGTACGGCGCGGTCATTGCTGCCAAGAACCACATGGATGGATCAAGCGTCGCGATCAAGAAGATTGCCAGCATCTTTGACGACCTCGTCGACGCCAAGCGGATTCTGCGCGAGACGCGGCTTCTGGGGCACTTTTCGCACAAGAATATCACCAAGTTGCTCGACGTCCCGGCGCCGCCGTCCCGCGATGCGTTTGAAGACATGTACATCATTGCCGAGCTCATGGAGACCGACTTGCACCAAGTGATTTACTCGATGCAGCCCATGTCGGACGACCACATCAAGTACTTTTTGTACCAGATCCTCTGCGCCTTGCACCACATCCACTCGGCGGGTACGTTCGAGTCGATCGTTGTTTTCCTGGCGATATAAGATCTGGGATGCTGAGATCTATCTGTCTGAATGTAGGTGTCATTCATCGCGACATGAAGCCGTCCAACATCCTCCTCAACTCCAACTGCGACCTCAAGGTACCATGTGATGGCAGCCGCGTTCATTTTGCTGATGTATTTCCGTTGAGTAGATTTGTGATTTTGGCTTGGCCCGGGGCGGGTTTCCAGAAAACGCCGAGCTCACCGAGTATGTGGTCACGCGCTGGTACCGCGCACCCGAGATCATGCTCAACTGCCTCAACTACACCGAGTCGGTCGACATGTGGTACGCACGTGGAGCCTTTGTACGTGCACGGTTGCAAGCAAAACGACTAGGGCCGTCGGGTGCATTCTGGCGGAAATGATGCAACGCGAGCCGCTCTTTCCAGGCAACGACTACATCCACCAGCTCAAGCTCATCATCAAGTTTATGGGCACGCCCAAGCAAGAAGAAATTGAGTTTGTCAAGAACGCCAAGGCGCTCCGCTTCTTGACCAAGCTGCCCATCTACAAGGCGACCAAGCTCGACGACGCATTTCCAAGCGCCAACCCCGAGGTACTTGGATTTTTTCTCGATTTTTTCTTGATGTTGCTTGAATTTTGCTCAATTTGGTCGGTTAGGCGGTCGACCTTCTCAAGCAAATGCTGGTCTTCAACCCGGAGAAGCGCATCTCGGTGCTTGACGCGCTGCAACATCCGTATTTGCAAGCCTTTTACGACCCCGCCGACATTCACGCGTCGCCGCCCTTTGATTTTGAGTTTGACATTCCGGACGACAAGCTGACGAAAGACGCGCTTGTGGACCTGCTCTTGGAAGACGTGGCCGTGTTCCACCCTGAGGTCGCCCACTGGACAAGGCCGGCGCCACCCGTCGCCGAAGCGTGAACGACCTCCACCACCCTTTTTCTCTCGATGTCGCCGTGCCCCTCTGTTTCTGTCTACACTAAACTACTAATCTACTAACTTTATATATACCGTCGTCCTTGGATGCAGACGGAAGTGGGATACAACGAGGGGTAGGGGTGTTGAGATCCGAGTATCGTTAAGGTATGGTCCCGGTGGATGCTGCCGTCGAGCTGCGACTGTCAAGCTACTTGGGCGCCTTGGTGACAGCGTCCTGCAGGGTCTTGGAAAGCGTCGCGGCGGCCGACGGGATCTCCTTGAGTCCGAGGGTCGCGCGCAGTGCGGGGACCTTGAGGAGACGCGACTGGGCGAGTGAAAACCACGACGACGCGAGCCAGTAAAAGAAGACACCCTGCACAGAGTCGTTCGTTAGTTTGTTGTCGTCGCGGGATTTGAACCTGCGGCAATTGGCAAATGAACGGAAACGAGAGCAGCGGAATGTACTGAATCTTGGTCTTGAGCCAGTCGAATGCCTTGATCTTGGAGTGGCCCATGAGCTAATAGATGGAGATGGCGTGGTATCGGAATCTCAACACGCAACACGCAACCTCAAAATTGAGATACGTCGACCCGACGGCGAGCGCTGGCAAGAGAAAGGTCGGGTCGGCTTCCAAGAGGTTCCGGTACATGCCCAGGCCGCCGGTCTCCAAGCCCGCGACGGACCCGGACCGAATCAAGTCGCGGCAGCTGTACGCCATGAGAAAGAACGACGGGATCTGCACCAGCGGCGCGGCAACGCAGGCGACCGGGTGCGTCTCAT